AACAATGAAAAATCCAATTATTAGAAAATTCATTCTGAACTTGTACAGAATTTGTTCAGTCTACCCCATTTATTGATAAAAAATAAAATTTAGAAATTTTCTGGATTTCTCACGTCTAACGATCATTTGACAATTTTACCGACTTGTTCTGCTGTTCAAAAACCCGATAAATTCCTACCGACTTCGATGATCTGAATTAAGTGTGTACCAGTGATTTCAAGAAAATGAAGCAATCCTACATTCAAAATATTGTTCGACGGCAAAGTGGTACGAAACGTCATTTTTAATCACTCGAATGATGTGCTCAATCAGGTAATTTTAGGATTACATTTTACCAGAGATTTCCGGAAAATGAGGTCACCAATTGCAATGTTTTTAGGGATAGCATAAATAAAACCCTGCTTTCTAGAGGTTCTAAAAATGCCAAACATAAAATTATGTTCCACGGTAAAGTCTGAGTGATAGCAAATGTAATTTTAAACTGCACAAATGATGTGATCAATTGAATGCTTGCCAATCAAGATAAATTCATAAGTACACACGTTCGCTAACTGAAACATTTTTACTTAAATATAACTTAGCCAGCGGCATTCCCTATCTAAAATGCGTTTCATGTGTCAAATCATATACCAAATGTATTTAAATGTATTTAAAATCGATTAGTCGATCCATTAGACTTGAAAGTAACCATTAATGACTGCAATTTCAACCAAATTGAAGAAAAGTGGCCTAACCAAGGGGTAAGTCACTCAGCCCATTGTTCCGAAATTATATTCGGCACAGCTTGGGCACATCCATCGGCACACCTTTGGCATACCTTCGGCACAATCTCTTAGGCATTGGATTGTTGTAAATAAAATGGGAGCACTGCTGGATAACTGTCATTGAAGTTATTCACAATATTACGTGCTGTTTGATTGTATGTTCAGGAATATCCTCTAATTGTACCTTCCTATACCAGAGGAACTCAGACCAGCAGTTTACTTGTAGATCTAAATACAAACTTTAGGTGCTAGAGTGGGCTCAAGAGAATGAGGAATTAATCAGACACCATTAGTACCCAAGAGATGAAGCAGCCTCTGGCTGAAAGTATCGCTAATAAAGATAACCTTAACCTAACCATTAGTATCCTTAACTCAAATAATGCTGCAACTCACACAAAACAAACTACAGAAGTCTATTCATCATCCTCTATAGTCAGTCTCCTACAATGTTTGTCACTGTTTCTAACTCTTTCCAGTCGCTGATAGACCGTTGCTTTTCACATCACGAAAGGCTAGGTTTCTAGTCTGCCTTTGAGGGCATTATAAAACCCTCAAACACAGGACTTTTATTATCACATGAACACAAAATACCCTTTTGCACACCCGCCACTTCTCGCGTCATCCTCAATCCGATTTATGCTTGCGATTTCAAACCAAAACATTCAAGAAATGCCGGATTGCCGGGATGGGTATTTTACAAACAATCGCAGCTAGCTCTATGACCGGCACAATCGGCACACTTGCAGCACACTGACAAAAAAGATGACTCAAGATTGGTGTGCGGAGTGACATACCCCTTGGGTTTAACTCATTAATGGGTAGTATATTTACCCATTTCATGAGTAGTTTTTGTTATTCAATATCAAAATTGGTGAAATTTTACTCACTAACACTCGGAACAAGATACCTCCTGCAAAATGTGTAACAGCAAAATGGGAATGTTTAAAAAATCATTGCTCATATATAGGATAAATTTTTTAAGTGTGTAGTTTCAAATTGCATCAATAGATTTGAAACTCGCCAATAAATGACTAAGCTATGAGTTATTGCAAGTTTGCCGTTGCAATTTTTTTCCGGAGGCATCATATTTGGAGTGTTAATGTGTACTTCCAAGTTAGCGTGTGAACACTTTTTAGAGGTAAAGGTGCTTTAACTGAAACTTCATTCAGACCAGCGGGCTTTCAGAGAAAGTACGTTTCAGTCGAAAGTTTTTTTTTTCAGTTATGGGGTGTTTACATCTGTGAGGATTTGCTAGCGCTAGTGTACTAGCCAATTAGCACGAATTTCAGTTGCTGCTGAAATCTCATGCTGGTAGACACTGATGCCCTGTTTACATTACGCTAGTGAAATAGCATAAGCTTAAACACCCCATTAGTGAACGTGTTTTGTCTCACTGCTCTGGCTGTAATAAACTGAAGAGACTGCATCGGAACAAAGAGGTCACTTGTCAAAATTGAAACAATCGAATATCTGTCAAAGTTTTGGAAAAGTTATTCTAATTGAGCAGGAAACCAGCCAGTTTGTTTATGTCAATTTAGTCTCGTTATTTTAAACCATTTAAACTGAAAATAATGTCATTTTAGACCAACAGCATTATTCAGGGTGTAGACCTCAGGTTTACCCAAACAAACATTGAAAGCCAAATTAAACCTTATTCAAGAAAGCATCTTCAGCTGAAATTTTTCTTATTAAGTTTTTGTCAGCTCGATTTATTTGTGGGGTTGTTTGTTAATAAACAAATTTTGTTGAGCTGTCAATGATTTGCACTTGTTGGTGCCTGAAAGCCAATTTGCTGTCAAATCCAAGCTGATTGGTTGGTTTGACAGTGGCAATCATGGAATAAAAAATAAAAACAGAAGGCTAACAGAAATCTCACTGGCAGTGATGCCGGAATGAATGTTGACGTCAATGGCGTTGTTAATTGTTAACAGCAGAGTGAGATACTCGATTGCAAAGACCCATTTCGAGTTGGTGCCTGGGACGAAACTTGACAATAGGGTAGCGTTTTAGAGCCAATTTGCTGTCAAATCCGAACCAGTTGCTGATTGGTCGATTTGACAGTAGCAATCGTGAAATAAAAGGGACAGAGGGATCACATCAACCTGACTGGCAGTGATGCCGGAATTAATTTTGACATCAATGTCGTTGTTAATTGGTAACGGAAAGTTGAAAAATGGAGTGCATGGCGTGTTTAAAGCAATGGATATTGTTTTTTGTTTATGGTTGTTTTTATTGTGTTAAGCAAAAAGGATGTACAAGGTGCTCAACTGCTTAAAGGTCCGAAATAAATTCCAAATTTAAATATAAAAATCATTCTGCAATCCTGGAATTATTGGTCAACTCCGTCAAACACTATCCACTAATATTCGAAGGGCTTCTTAATGTTTTTGATGAATTAAAAAACACTAAGAAGAGTGAGAAGCTGGATTGTCAAGTCCCATCTCGGGTTAGTGCAGCACTTGCCATTTTTGACATATCGGTGCATAATTTTACTCTGGCCCATCTGGTAGGTTATCATCAACATTTCAAAAGGGTGAAATTGTCTTTGTAAACAATGGTTTTAGTCGGCAATTTCTAGCGCATAAAATCTTACACATGCAAAGTAATTACACCATCAGGTAGAGGAATGTTTCCTCTATCAACTGACATCTTTAATTTGCAGGTTGTGAGCTTTTATTTGCAAGAAATCGGTGGTTGAAGACATTGTTTACAAAAAACAATTTTACTCTAATGAAATGTTGGCCGGAATTGATCGATTCTCCCCAAGTAACCATCAAGCCCGCTAATTCAAAATGTACAATATAATGCTGATATATGGTTACTATAACACTTTAAAGCCGTATATTGCAAAAAAAAAGGCCCTTATCGGGCTATCAACGGGCTTCGTGGTTCCTTGGGGAGAATCGACCAATGTTCATTTTACAGTATTCCAGGAAAGGAATTGAGCAAGATGGAAATTTTGGAATGCTTTCCTGCTAAACCCACCAATTAATTTTTCACACATTTAGTTATGAAATTGTATGACAGCATACTTTTTTTACGGCCAGTCCATATTGAAGAAATGTGTCCCATGAAGAAATGATACTTCGTCACGTTAAATACATGATACAACTTTTGAAAAAAATCATTAAATCCTGTGAGAATCGTTTTACTCCTAGGTATATTTTACACCATGCTCTTCAATTCAATATCAAATATTTCAAATGAACTCAGTGATTTTCAAAATTCATCGTTTGTTTAAATTATTAAGAGAATTGTATTTAGGTTATAGATTTAAATGCTCGTTGGAGTTTTAATCTATAAACACGACCTTCATAAGGCAAAAGAATGAACGGCATGTTAGAAACTGTAAATAAATGTAATAATCTGGATGCAGACAGTACATTACGACTGTTGTTCGGATCAAGAGACTTCAATGAGCGCAAGTGACGAACCGTGGAATTTTGACGAGAAGTACCTCATTGCAATAAACCTTCACTTTTTCTTATTCACACTCACTTTACTACCATGGTACTATTTAACGATACCATCAACAAATAATTAAAGAAGCTTTATCTCACTAAAAATAATCGAAGAAGGTACCACACCGGAACGGAGAGCAAAAGATGCTACCTTTTTGTACTTTAAATTACCAAACAAACGAAAACATAAATATCCTACTTCCGTCCCCCGCCCGGCCAAACACAATAGCACAATGGACCCACAGTCGTTCAAAATTTATTCAAATTGTATATCGTGAGACTTTTCCCTTGACGATGTAGCAATAGTAACTTACCCCCCCGCTACATCACTCTCTCCCCAACCACACCGTGCCGATCTTAAGCAATGATATAACCATACTCAAGCCTGCTGCAACTCCCATTTACAACACGTTTGTGAAAAAGGTGCACTTCTGTGCGTGTGTGTGGGAGGACCACGGCAAAACTGTCTCGCCACAAACAGTCGGAGTGTTATGCAATCGATGCGATCATCGATCGCTACGGTGGTGTCCTAGTTTCGAGCCGTACTTCATCACTTCACTCAGGCTCGTGAGTAATTCTGGTCCAATTGCATAATTCGCCAGTCACACTCTTCCTTCATCACTTCATCAAATCGTCCGCACAGATAACTCCTACGGCAGTCCTTCGTGGGTCCAATTATCAGTTCTTGGCAATCATTTTCCACCACATCACTCCTGATCACACTCTGATAATAGCATTCCCCCTTTGTGCTCCAACAAAAGCGAATGGGACTAACCTTTTGCGAACGAAGCACTCGTTTTTCGTTGTCTCACAATTATTATGTAAAAATCAATCAGCACCACCAGCTTCAGCTGAATTTCCTTTCCACTTTCTTGGAAGGGTTTTGAGTTTTTTTTTGTTTTCACTCTCGATAGTCCGTAACGATTTCGTTCTATAAATGTTGTTCGATGCACATCACACTCGGTACTGAAGTTCAATTTCACCCAACGGACTATTATATAGAATTCCTCCGCCTGCACTCGGTTTGGGTGGAAAACCGCCTGGCTGTGGACGAATTTTAACCGGAGCCACTTCTTCGGGCGATGCTTGGAGCTGAGAAATATCCAGCGAGCGAGAGAGGGACTTGCACGAATAAAAGAGCATAGGCTTGCTTGCAACGGTCGACGACGGTTGGGAAATGGGGGGATGATGCTGCAGATGTGGTGGAAGAATCAAAACGAGCATGATGCCGTAGTGGAGCATGGGTGGTGGAGTGGGTTTGTTTGCTTTCCCTCTCTGTCGGGCACATAATCATACCGGGTCGATGCTGTGGCTGCGTTTGTTACTCAGAGTAACACAAACTCCAGATGACGCGATTTTCTGCGACTTGGCCAGACAGCAGTGGCTGTCCGTGGGTAGATGTTGTCTATCAGGATACCGGTGGGGCAACCAACCAGATGATCGTCTTGTTTAACAAGATTTTGCTGCGCTTCCTTATACAATTCCGGCAAGCTTCCAGTTGAGGGTTGTAGAGTAAAAGATTCGCTTTTCTTTTACCTTGAAGTCAATAGTCGTCCGTCGGGAGAGGGATTTGGATGATGTGATCTACCCGCCAATCTACCCGTCCCCAGAAGCATGTTGACGACCGTGCCAAAATCCCTAACATGGGAAGAAGCGATTACGTTTAAGTTATTTTTACATCAAGTCGCTTTCTTCGGTTTCTTTTTCCTCTTTTTCAGCAGTGGTGCTACTTCATTTGCTGCTGCATACATGTGCTTGTGATTACATGACTTTTGTGATTCATACTGATCATACGGATAAAGGTGGTGATGGCAGCGATGCTGGTGGTTGTTGTGATTGTCAATTTTCCAGTGTGCCGTTTTTCGCCGAATAATCTGACGCACGTGCTTGCTCGTGTGTTGTGTGCGTTAGTTACATGGGCGGGTCTCTGATAGGAAATTGGCCTAATTTTTGGAGTTTATATGGACACGACAGGTGTTAGTGGCAAACCGAATGAAGCCAATTCGATGTCGATGCGGTGATACATTTTACGGTTCAGTTTTCAACATCTAAATCCAAACAGCGATGAAATATTAATCGATCCAGTTTTCTTCAAACAGTCTATGTGATGATGGTGTTTCTCTTATCTAATTGTAATGTGTTTTAACATAGTACTTATTATGGGTAAAAGTAATAAATGATCGAAGTTTTTTAACGCTTAGCTTACCGCCACAAAAATAAGTTTTTTTTCACGTTTTGATTGTTTCAAAAATACTTGAAAAAGATATAAAAAAAATCCAAGAAAAATTGTTTTTTCTTATGATTCTTAGAAAATTTTACGTTCAAAGCATTTTTTTCTATTTCATCATTTTAAAAAGTTGGGTAAAAAACCAAATTGTGAGGTCTGGTTTTGCAGTATTTTATACCCAATTGGGTCATTAGGCCGAATTTTGATAAGTGAATGATTGAACTTAGGGTTTTTTTTTTGTGGAACAGTTTTCTTTACTCTGGGACATTATTTTTTATATGATCTCTGTGTTAGTATGAACATTGAAGACCCTTAAATCTAGAGAGTGTGGACTTAACCAAAATGCTTGTCTAAGTGCAGCCAAGTGGAGGTCAAAGTGCAGCCAGCACGTTTTTTTTTTCAAAGCATTATTAGGTAGCTGATTTTTTTGACGTAGGACTACGTCTGTGATTTCTAAATGGGTGTACACTTTGTGAAAACCGAAAAAGGAACATGTAACAAAATTATGAAAGATTTTGATCGTTAATAACTCAGTTACCACAGGATCAATTTCAATAATTTTATCACCAATCAATTACAAATATTTCTACGCATCTGTTAAATTTAAGACTATTTATCAACATGTCACTATTGAAAATTGCACCAATAAACAACTGTTGCTATTATAGTTAAAATTATCTCCAATTGCCTGCAAAAAGCGAATTCCCTAACACAGATTTCAAAGTTGAATTCCAACCGGTCTCACCAATCACCGGGTGGTGTGTGGTGGTGTTCTCTAGTACACAACGAAAGGCTCCCCACAAGCAGCTAGCTATCAAGGCTGGCCTCAACTGCTGATCGGTTTCGGTTCCAATCACCGTGTGTGGTGGTGTCCGGTGGCGGTATCAACAGCAGCAGGGGTTTAGGCACGTTTCGTTGAACATTGTTCTCCAGTACACAACGAAAGACTGTCTGCAAGCAGCGAGCTGCAGCCCACATGAGCATTCATAGAATGATCAGAAGCAGTAGCTCTTCGTGGGCTGTGGGTCATCTATGCCAAGTGCGTCACCCTAATTCCAAACAACATACAGCTCACCAGCCTCATCTGTGTTTAACACCCTAATCGCTCAGCATTACTCAACCATCACGACAAAACGGTCCTTTTCGGGACCACCATAAATTTGTAAAATAGTATATTTTGAACATATGTCAAGGTTATCAATCGGTCAGTTCCCATATCAAGGTAGAGCTGGAATTAGGGCGTAACAATATAACCGACGGTAATGTGGGGCAATTTAATTGCAAGGCGTGTCTTGAATACCTGAAAATCATCAAGAGAAGTCATTGTTTACAAAAGTTGTTACGCCTTATTCCAGCTCCATCTAGATATGTTTAAATCTAACACCATGTTTTTGAAATTTCAATAACCAAAGTCGGTTGCGGCTTGAAAGTGGTCTGATTTTGATCCAGAGATGATGGATTTTAATTCTTAATACGCCAATCGATAGGAATTGGCGAATCTGTTAAAATTAAGACTTCATCAGTTTTCAAAATGTCTCTTTTGAAAATTGCACGAATGTACAACTGTTGCTATGTTAAGTAAAATTATTAACGATTGCCTGCGAAAAGCGATTTCCCTAACACAGATTTCAAAGTTGAATCCCATCCGGTCTCACCAAGCGGTGTTTATTCAATCACCGCGATGTGAGTGGTGTTGTTCTCCAGTAGGGTAGGATGGTGCAAAACGCACCGTTTAAGCAAAATCGTCAATGGCTGGCGAATGGAAGCTAAAATCAAGAAGAAAGTAATGGCGTTTGGTTCATTACCATGTTTTCTACAAAGATCAAGTGATTTAGAACTACAAAAGGATGATTTTCCATGACTTTCAAGGTATTTTTTAAATTGCTTCCAAAATTATAGCGGGACAAAACGCCTGATTCATGACGCAATATGCACCACAAACTTGGGACAAGACGCACGAAAACAATGGCCAAAACGCACCATAACATTGGGGTAAAATGCACCCCATGGTAAACAAACCATAACCCCTGCAAGTAGATAATGCAAAGGGATGCGGTATTTCAAATGATTATTTCTTTATGTTACATCAGAAATAAGGTCTCAAAATCTCAATGGAATGCTAAACTGTGATTCATCAAGTAAAATATCTAAAAAATATACGAAACGTAAATTTTTAAATTTTTTTTGTGATACATGATGATAAAAGCTTAATTTACAGTCGATGATTTTAACAACTGTGTCCTGTTTTGCACAAAATGCAATTTTTTTAAGGAATCAGTAGGTCAATACATGATTTTATGATCAAGAATTATTTGTTAAACCTCCAGTTGAAAACAATCACAAACCGTTACCAGGATAATGCATCTGAGGAAAAGTTATCGCTGTTTTTCTATAAGTGGGCATTTTACCCCAGGGGTGCATTATGGGCTGTTCTCCCTTACATAATGAAATGCTGCCTGCAAGTACCGAGCTGTAGCCCACATGAGCATCTATAGAAGGAGGAAGAAACCGCACCGCTATTGATCGGAATCAGTAGCTCTGCGTGAGTTGCTGTGGGCCATCTACGTTAAGCACGTCATACTAAAGGGTGATACGGTCAAAATTTGGTCAATATCAACTTGACGTATTTCTTTCAATTTTGCATTTAAAAAACCTGAACACCCCTCATTTTGAAGGTGTGTGTGTGTAGAATGTTGCTCCTATTTTGATTTTGGAATTCACTCTTCAGTTGTCAAAATGCCGTCCAAGCAAGAAGAGCAGCGTATCAAAATTTTGCTCGCGCATCGCGAAAATCCGAGCTACTCGCACGCAAAGTTGGCAAAATCGCTAAAAGTTGCCAAATCAACCGTTACAAATGTAATTAAAGTGATTGGGGAACGTTTTTCGACAGCCAGGAAGTCTGGATCGGGGGGAAATCGAAAACCGGAAGCCGCTGAGACGACAAAGAGAGTTGCCGGTAGTTTCAAGCGAAACCCTAACCTCTCTCTCCGAGATGCCGCAAATAAGCTGGGTGTATCGTCTACAACCGTGCATCGAGCCAAAAAACGAGCCGGACTATCGACTTACAAGAAGGTAGTGACTCCAAATCGCGATGATAAACAAAATACGATGGCCAAAGCGCGATCCCGGAGGCTGTACACGACGATGCTGACGAAGTTTGACTGCGTGGTAATGGACGACGAAACCTACGTCAAAACCGACTACAAGCAGCTTCCGGAACAGGAGTTTTATACGGCAAAAGGAAAGGGAAAGGTAGCAGATGTTTTCAAGCACATGAAACTGTCAAAGTTCGCAAAGAAATATCTGGTTTGGCAAGCCATCTGTACCTGTGGCTTGAAAAGCAGCATTTTCATAGCTTCCGGGACTGTCAACCAAGAAATTTACGTGAAAGAGTGTTTGAATAAACGTCTGCTGCCTTTCCTGAAGAAACACGGTTGTTCCGTACTGTTTTGGCCGGATTTGGCATCTTGCCATTACGGTAAAAAGGCCATGGAGTGGTACGCCGCCAACAACGTGCAGGTGGTTCCCAAGGACAAGAACCCTCCCAACACGCCAGATCTCCGCCCAATTGAGAAATACTGGGCTATTGTCAAGCGGAACCTAAAGAAGACCAAAAAAACTGCTAAGGGCGAGCAGCAGTTCAAGGCAAACTGACTTTCTGCGGCGAAGAAGGTG